ATAAGAAAAAACATGCCATAGTCAACGTTAAGAATAGAGGAAACGATTGCTTGAGATTAGCTATCAGATCAGCTTTGTTTCCAGCTGACACTCATTCAGACAGGCCTTCTAGCTATCCCCAAGACGATGGACTCAACTGGGATGGTATAGATGAACCAACCACCATATCTCAGATCACTAAAGTAGAAAAACAGAATAATCTAGCTATAAATGTCTTTGGACACGAAGACGACACAACAATAATACACAGGCTCAGCTCGTTGGTGGGAAAGGGGGGGAACCCCCCTCGTGTTATCAATATATTTATGATCCAACGAGGTGAAAAGTATCACTACACGTGGATAAAACATTTCAGTCGGTTGTTGCACGATCAGTCGAAACACGATGGGAAAAAACACTTTTGTATGCGATGTCTGCACGGTTTCAGCCGAGCTGATTTATTAGAATCCCACCAGGAGTATTGCCAAGGTGTGGGACAGACGGCTATACGCATCGACATGCCCGAGGAAGGTGACAATATCCTAAAATTCTACAACCACAAGCACCAAATGTCCGTGCCTTATATTATATACGCCGACTTTGAAGCATTGGTCAAACCTGTTGAGGCTGTTGGGGATACCCCCACAGGTGAGAGCTTCACATACAAAACACAAGAGCATGAAGCATGTGGGTTTGGATACGTAGTCGTCCGTTGTGATGGGGAAACGAAAGCTCCCGTGGTGTACAGGGGTCCTGATGCGGTTGAAAGGTTTCTAAAGTGTTTGAAGGAGGAAGAAGAAATTATTAGGAAAAAGTTGTATAGAATCGCTCCCATGCGTATGACCCAAGCCGACAGGCTAGCTCACTCCCGTAGCATTAACTGTCACGTGTGTGACTCACCACTTAACGGTGATTCGGTGAGAGATCACTGTCACATAACCAGTAAGTATAGAGGCGCTGCTCATAACGAATGTAACCTCAAGCTTAGAATCAACCCTAAAACAATAAACATTCCCGTTGTCTTTCACAACTTGAGAGGGTACGACTCTCACTTAATCATGCAGGCCATCGCGAAAATCGATGGTAATATAACGTGCATTCCCAACAACATGGAGAAATATCTCTCTTTCAGCTTAGACGGACTTAGGTTCATTGACTCGTGTCAATTTCTATTGTCGTCATTAGCCAGCCTGATTAAAGCCAACGATACCTTCCCTATTACCGATCGATACACAGACGCCGAGACTAGATCTCTGCTTATGAGGAAGGGGGTGTACCCCTATGAATATATGGATAGTTGGACTAAGTTCACCGAGACCAGACTACCCCCATCAAAGAATTTTACAGCAATCTGACAGACTCGGAAATATCCGAAGACGATTACTCGTACGCTATTAATGTATGGAATAAACTTGGTTGTAAAAACCTGGGTGACTATCACGATCTGTATTTGAAGATGGATGTACTACTATTAGCCGACGTATTTGAGACATTTAGGAGGACATGTATCAAGCAGTATAAACTAGATCCAGCATGGTATTACACCAGCCCAGGTCTGTCGTGGGATGCCTTGCTTAAAAAGACCGGAGTTAAGTTGGAATTGCTTACTGATTATGACATGCACCTGTTCGTTGAGAAAGGTCTGCGAGGTGGGATCTCCATGGTAACCAAACGATACGCTAAAGCAAATAATCAATACGTGAATGGCTACGACCCTAGCAAACCAACCAATCACATTCTCTATCTCGACGCAAATAACCTGTACGGATGGGCTATGAGTCAGTATCTACCCACAGGGGGATTCGAATGGGCGTCACATGAGGTCGATGTTATGAGCATCGCGCCGGATTCGAACAAAGGTTATATCCTCGAGGTTGACTTGGAATACCCCAAGGCATTACACGAATCACACAACAGCTACCCCCTAGCTCCCGAACGTATGAGGGTTAACCCAGACTGGATGTCTGAATACCAACATAACTTATTAGATAGGCGGGTGACGGGCGTTGAAAAACTCGTGCCTAACTTAATGAATAAGACCAAATACATAGTTCACTATCGCAACCTGCAGCTGTACCTGTCGTTGGGTATGAAACTGACCAAAATACACAGGGTGCTCGTGTTCAACCAGAGCCCATGGATGGAGCCTTACATCAGAATGAACACGGACCTGCGAAAGCTGGCCACCAGTGACTTTGAGAAAAACTTGTATAAGCTCATGAACAACTCGGTATTCGGTAAGACGATGGAGAACCTGAGGAAACGCGTGGACGTGAAGCTGGTTCGGTCGAATGAAGAGGAAAAAACTCAGGAAGCTGATCGCTAACCCTGCATTCAACCGTAGTAAGATATTCGATAACGACCTGGCTGCCATACACATGAAGAAAAGTCACATAATATTAAACCGGCCTGTTTACGTTGGGATGAGCATCCTTGATTTATCCAAACACCTGATGTACGACTTTTACTACAACGAGCTTAAGAAACAGTACGACGACAGGTGTGAAGTACTATATACTGACACGGATTCCCTGCTGATGGAGATTCGAACCGAGGACGTGTACGAGGACATGAAAAAACACCTCGATTTGTACGACACCAGCGACTACCCCAAGGACCATGCCATACACAGCACGGTGAATAAAAAGGTCCTAGGTAAGATGAAGGACGAGTGTGCTGGCACGCCCATAGCCGAGTACATAGGGTTGAGGCCTAAGATGTACTCCATACTGAAGGCCGACAATGGTGAGATCCGGAAAGCTAAGGGTGTAAAAAAAAATACGTGGTGAAACAACACATCAAACACACCAGATTCAAGGAAGCCCTGTTCAAGACCCGTACCTTTAAACATAAAATGAACACACTTAGAAGTGATGGGCATAGGATATACGGGTTGACTATAAATAAAACATCATTATCACCTATGGACACTAAACGTTGGATAGCCATTGATGGGATAAACACGTACGCGTACGGGCATGAGAAAATTGAACCAAGAACATAGGTATAAATAAATAGTGACATGTCACGGAACCAGAAAAAGTTTGAGGCTATTTACTACAGTCCGCGTGGATATTGGAAAGGAGCTAGCGCTGTAGATAAACTATCTAAAATAACTCGAGTATCCCCGGAGGAGGTCAAAACATGGCTTGAAAAACAAGCACTTTGGCAGATATATTTACCACCACCACGCTATGTGCCTAGAAGGAAGTTTGGTATTAATGTACCTAATAACGTTCACCAAGCAGACCTACTGTTCCTACCCCACGATAAGAGGTACAAGTATGCCTTAACCGTAGTGGACGTAGCCAGTCGCTACAAGGAAGCCGAACCCTTGACCACGAAAGATTCTGCCCAGGTAGCCAGAGGATTCGAACGCATATACAAACGCAGTCCGCTGACGTGGCCAACAGAGCTGCAAGTTGACCCCGGGCGGGAGTTCATGGGTGCTGTGTCACAACTGCTAGCCAAACACGATACAAAGGTCAGGCGTGGTACGGCTGGAGCCCATCGCAGCCAAGCCATAGTTGAGAGATTTAATAGGACTTTGTCTGAACGTTTATTCGGGTATCAATATGCGAGAGAAATGAGCAACCCGGAAAAACGATCGACTGAATGGGTCAAAAGGTTACCTAAGGTGGTGTCGGCAATCAACCATGAAGTTACTCGGCTCACTGGTAAGAAACCGGCAGACGCTATCAAATTAAAAACAGTGATGGCTGAACCGGCTGCTCCATTGCATGGGAAGGAGAAACAAATACCAGATAGATCCCTAGTTAGGTATCTTTACCAGCCAGGGGAACACGAAGGGGACACTCGGAAACGAGCTACTGATCCTATATGGTCAGTCAAAACTTACAATATAGATAAGGTAGACATCAAAGCAGACGAGCCTAACTTGTACTACTTGAGGGATGGGCCAGGGAGGGGGTTTGTAAGAGAAGAATTATTGATCGTACCGTACGGTACAGTATTACCTCCCGTCAACACTACATAGAGGTAAGATATCCGGTGGGGTTCGTATCCCACCGTCACAACTTCGTGTGATGTGAGAGACACAATTCCCTTTGGAGCGCAATACATTTCTTTGGGAATTGGGACATTTTGCTTGAAAAAGTCTTATTTTATGAAATAAAGCTCTGTAGTAGATGGTAATGGTAAGGGTCCAACTAAGGCTTTATCTATTAAATGAAGCCTTAGATTACCCTGGTCCAGGACTGTCATCCTGTCTACTACTTACTTTGTTTGAGATATGACCCTGTTCTCTTGCAGTGACATGTCTATGTGACAGTTAAATGTCAGGTTCTTGAAGGACAGCTCAGACTGAAACTTCGCAGAGAGCTGAGAATGAAAATCGGCCCTCACATCAAATCGTGTACAGGGCAACCAACTGTAAATGTTGTCCTTCCACTGAAGTCGAGGGATAGCTAAACATTAGCTGTGAATCATTATATCATCAAACTGATACTTTAGTGAAAAATAGCTTGTTTATGTAATTAAGTCCATATATTGATAACCACAAGAAAAACGGAAATTGTGAAAAGAAGACGACTACAGTAAGACTATAAACTATATCTAGATACTTTTGACACATGATGGCGAAGGAACCTGCCTGCGAGAACAGGCTACCCGCAAACAGAAACATCAGTCATAAACATCCGCTTGGCCTCCCTTAGATCCGACACGAGCCACCTCATTAAGTCAACAATGAATGATTGTGAGTGACATTATCGCTATGGGATTGACATCAGGATGACGACATGTGATTTTGATCCGACATTGGATGACGTGGACTTTAAGGAGTTAGCTGTCTGTGATGCTCGTCAATGCCGGTCATGCAGATGTGTCACATGGATGTAGCGGTCTCACCTTTCTATCCAAAATAAAGGGAACATGTGATATATGTTAAAGTAAGTTTGCGTTATGTCCTATAACATGTAGACACTTTGGCAATTAGAATTACAAGTTATTAAAATATTATATGAGTTCGTCCTCAGACAAGAAAAACACTTTTTTTCCAGAACAAGTCGCCAGCGTCGTATTGTGTGACAGTGAGACACAGACAGACAACGAGGTCTACATCAGCAGCAACCTACTGAGGATGTCAGCTCTAGGAACAAGCACCTGCACCTGTACAGTCAGTGGAGCAGCGAGCCAGGTCACCCTACTGGACGTGAGACTGGGCAACAGCAACCGGACCAGACTGACCATCTGGGACAGGACACGGTCAGTGTACACAGCCCACGGTGGTCAGCAAACACTCCACTTCATGGAGCAGATTAAGATGAGGCAGTCAGAGTGGAGTCTACAAGTGGATGTTGTCCAAGACCATCTCCCTGACAAGATATGGATGAGAGTGCAAGGTAGTTATTTTACACCAGGCAGCAATGAGTTTATAACGTGTGCTGATAACTGAAATGTTCATCATCGAAACAAAATGCTTCCGTGACTGAATAAGCTTCTTTTTCCACAGGAAACAACAACAGTACTAAAGTCACAGTCACATGTGGTATGTCCTTCCCTATATCCACCTGTCTGATGCTCAATTGTCTACATTGTGTAATTTGTTAATAGATATCAAAATAGAGAGTTAATCGTTTAGGTTCATAGACACATTTGGAAAAATCCCTGTTATCCTGTTGCTGGGAAGTTATGATAAACTCGCCAAGTCACTGAAACTGGAAACATTATTTCTTTTAGAAAACAAAAGTGCATTCGGGAGAAATTAGGCTGAACCATTTCTGCATGCGTACTCAAAGTGCGGTCATAAGAAAACTTTGTAAATCTATAGAAGCGTATGTTCTATCAAGAAGGTATTTAAGTTTTCTCATTGAGTCACTCTGGGATCATTTTCGAGGTTTTGTAAACAATATCAGATAAATGGGAGGACCATTTGCCGTTCGATGATAGTATTACCCCCACATGTTGATGATGTTCTGCTGTTTTAACAATCGTATCGTCAAATAATAAGTCAACCGAGCAAATATCATCTTTGAGTAGGAAATGTAGTGATTCTGTCTTATCTGGGTTGTATGATATCAACCACTAGTTTGCCCAATCATTTACCCTTCTGAGATTTTCTTTCAATCAGTTTTCAGTTTCGTAATATTTTTCGGAAACCTTGCTTTTTATGATGTACATGTGTCATTAGCAAATAGTCGATTTATGCAATCAACATCAAACAATGAAAAGAAACGGCCCCAACACTTATCCTGTGGGACGCCAGCTTGGAGTAACCTTGGTTTAAGCATCGCATAGTATATTGGTCTTTATGGCCTAGAGCTTGGCGTATTTGATGGACAGGTGAATTCCCAGATTGAAAACCAGCTTGGTATTTGAACAATCGTTTGTTCTCATTGAAATATTTAGACATATGCTTAAATACAGCTCTCTCAAACAGTTTACCGACACAACATATAAGTGATATCGGTTAGATACTGATGTAGTTTGATACTTCAGTTTTATCACCTTTCTTGAATACAGACATTACACGTGCTAATTTCCATTCTGATGGTTTCACACTTGTTTGTAGTGATCATTCGACCAGGAAACTCAACGGCCCATTTATTGAATGAGCAGTTTCCTTAAAAGCTTCTATTAGGCCCGTAGCTTTATTGAGTGGCAAACATTCAGTTATACCCAGAAATTTTCTGTTTAGTCACTGTTGTGAATTCTAAAAGTTTAATCTGTGCGTCTATCAAATTGAGGAAGAGTCCTATTTTCGTAATTTTCGTCGAGATCGAAGTAATGAAGTTATTTACAAATTCTGCTTTATCTATATGTAAGAAAATCGTCATCACCAATAGGATTCTGTTTGAGAGCGGGAATGCAAATTCTTGTACCTGAATGTTTTACAACATATCGCAGCATTTTCCAGTAAGAGGGTTTATCATTAAAATGTAATACAGTAATAAAATCGTCAATATTGGAATAAAAGTTTTCTTTTGCATGGTATTTCATGTTATTTATTTCTGTTTCTTATACAATCGAATATCTCTTTCTTTGTCATTTCTTTTAGCTTTCTTTCGTATTTTGTCCCGTTTTCTGCATTCCATTCTGCATTTCAGCTCGGTATCGAACCAAGGCTTGTCATCAGGACGAATCGTTACAGTTTTAGATTGTACACATGATCTAGCACACCTTTGTGAAACTTCGTTAATGATTTATATGCATCATCAAGACAGTCACAGTTTTAAAAATATCAAACCAATTAGTATTTTCTATTGATTGTTAAGCTTATCGTAATTGCCAGTTTTGTAACACCATACTTGTCTAGTAAAACACATTTTAGTGATGACATTTATGTCCAACTAAATATAAGTACTCCGATGATCACTAACTTTCTTATCAAATTCAACAACTCCAGCCAGGGTCTATTACCGTAGCTGTGGTTGTAGTCACTCTAGCAGGCTCTTTTATAACAGGGGAGGTGGGGGTAGCCTAGTGGTTAAAGCGTTCACTTGTCACGCCGAAGGCCCGGGTCTGATTCCCCACATGGGTATAATGTGTGAAGCCCACTTCTGGTGTCCCTAGCCGTGATATTGCTTGAATATTGCTAAAAGCGGCGTAAGGTAAATAATCACTCACCCACTCGCTCTTTATAACGTTATGTAGATTGTTTTTTTCCATTAAATCTACAGTATTCAATTGTTGACATGGCAGAAAAGTTTCGTTTATATCACCAACAAACCTTATCTTACTGGATGCATCTAGAGCTGTTTCTACACTTTGATCTTGACGTTGCCACAATGTATGGTGGTTGTCATAATCAGGTGTGTGTACAACACATAATATATCCAAATGGTTTCGTCATGAATACTTTCTGGAAGTACCATACTTTTTAAAGGCTAGTTGTTTATTGACATACATTATGACCCCTTCCCCAAAAGCATTTCTATCTTTTCTGATCGGTTCGTGGAAATTATCCCATAAAAGATCAATCAGTGGTGTTTACAGTCTCATCTAGGTGTGTTTCTGGTAAAACAGACAATGTGATAAACAGGGAGTACTTCCAACCAGGTAATTTAACTTTTTGCGCACATTTCGTGTATTTAAATGAAGTATATCAAGTGCTTGATCAGAGTCATAGTTCAGTGGGCCTTATTTGGTTTCATACTGGCCCCGGCAGGCAAGCAGTAGTAACAATAGGATCACAAGGACATGTTGGAATAAAGCTTAATCAGAACAAATAAATCCTCAGTGCGTAGGCTCCATGAGTCATTATAAGTTGAGAAATTTGTTGTTAAGAACAAGATCAAATCGTCTCACGAGTCGTTTTTCCCAACGACGATCTGATCGTGGAACAATCTATCAGGAAAGAAGAAATAATACGTCACTATCAAAATTCAAACTCAGTTCCACTGTACCTTTCTGTACGATATTACACATCTCATAACATACTGCATGCAGATTAAGTTACAGATCCATCCTGCGCATGTGGCAACCCATAAGAAAATTCTCAGCATTGTTACTTACAGTGTTCATTATACGAGAGAAAAATCATGTTTAAAGCTATACAAGATGGCTGTTATTGTAATTCTGTGATTACATTATATGTTCTTTCAAAAAGCATTGCCGATTTGACTAATCCTGAAAACGAATTTATATTAAAAACTGTACACCTGTATATAAGCAAATCAAAACGATGCCAGTAGTTTTCTTTCTCTGTATCTTTTGAATGATAATATTTCCCCTTAACTGCCAATCTTTCTCCATGTCTGTTTCTAATGATTGCTAGCACTGAAAAATTGTTCTTTCAAATATTCTTGGAGAGGGGTTATATAAGTTCTAAGAACTTGTCTCCGGATCTTTTTCACTTTGTGTATAAAATATGCTTAAACTAACCATTTCTGCAAACCTTAATGTGTGCATCAGCAGACAGGAAGGAATGAAACGTTAGCCTGATTCATATTCCATTATATAGCGTTAAATAGTAGTTCTCTAGCCTGTGATGTAGCGGTTATCAACCGTTTCGTGTCAGTTGTAGATTGTTAATATTTCAGATCCAAGTGCAGCGAAACAGCTGCAGGCCCCAGATCAGGTGAGGTGTCTCTACAAGCGGGTTGTTAAATGTTTAGTTTCCTTGTTATTCATTCTATTTTCGCTTGTATTTGGTAGTTTAAGTAGTCATAGGGAGTCCTTTTCGTGGTCTTTGCGAGGATTAAAGATTTTTAAAAACCTGATATTTTAGGTCTCTCGACTCGAAATGCTTCCCAGTACACATGCTTTTGTTGTACTGGGAAGCATTTCGAGTCGGGGGTCATCACAAATCTTTTAAAATCTTTAATCCTCGCAAAGACACGAGGACCTGTGGTTAAAGTATGGGTGTTGACGTTCGTCGTCAAACTGTCTGGAGTATTAGGTGAGTCCGTATGAATGTTGTCGTCAAAAATTGTCTGGAGTCATATATGAAGCCGTATCAATGTATTCGTTCTCGTCAAACTGTCTGAGTCATATATGGCTTTGTATCAATGTATTCGTTCTCGCCTCAAACTGTCTGGAGTCATATATGGCTTCGTATCAATGCTTCGTATCAATGTATCAATGTTCGTTCTCGTCAAACGCTGTCTGGCCACCGCCCGAGTCATATATATGGCTTCGTATCAACGTATTCGTTCTCGTCAAACCGTTCGGGAGTCATATACATTTCGTATCAATGTATTCGTTCTCAGTTAAACTGTCTAGAGTCATATATGGCTTCGTATCAATGTATTCGTTCTCATCAAAGTGTCTGGAGTCATATATGGCTTCGTATCAATGTATTCGTTCTCGTCGTCCCACGGAGTCATGGCCGCATCACGTATCGTTCGTCAAACTGTCATCGAGTCAGATATGGTTTTGTATCAATATATTCGTTCTGTCAAACTGTTGCAGCTGGAAACAGACTTGAAAATTATATTCCTTGTTGTTGGCTTTGTGCTGGTGGCTCCGTGTTGGGATTATCTCAATATTTTGTATGAAAAGGTGGGTACCACTACATCGACTGGTGTTATCATCATATCGTTAACTCATTGCATATCACCGTTATCACACCTCACTGGCGTTGTCACCGTTATCATTGACTGTACCTCACTGGCGTTATCACCTCGTTATCACACCTACCGGTGTTATCACCTTTATCACACTCACCGGTGTCATCACTGTTATCACACTCACTCGGTGTTATCACACTCACTGGTGTTATCACCCGTTATCACACTCACTGGTGCTATCTTACTGTTATCACACTCACTGGTGTTATCTCACTGTTATCAACACTTCCACTGGTGTAGTTATCACTGTTATCACACTCACCGGTGGTGTTATCACCGTTATCACACCTACTGGTGTTATCACCGTATTCACACCCACTGATCGTATCACCACACTCACTGGTGTTATCGCTGTTATCACACTCACTCACTGGTGTTATCATTGTTATCACACTCACTGGTGTTATCACTGTTATCACACTCACTGGTGCTATCACTGTTATCACACTCACTGCGTTAATTTCACCGTTATCACACTCACCGGTGTTATCATTACCCCTGTTATCCACACCACACTCATCTTTGCTCGAAGTGTTTTGTTGATTTACGTAATACATTCTCGACAAAAATGATAAATCTGGCGTTCAGTCGAAACTCATGATCTTTATGAAAACAGATAAAATACAAAATCACCAGCATTAAGATTTTGAATGTTACTATTTATCCAGGAAACGAGGAAGTCCACTCTCTGTTTCCACCTTCCCCACGGTTTACCCCTTGAAGGAATGACGCCGTTGAGCCAATCTATTCCTTACCCCATCAACATCGTGGAGACGGCACCCTCCTCGCCAGCTTCCTCAACCAAGAGCCAGGGGACCAGGGCCAGCTGCAGGAAGGATCCTGACAACCCCATGTCACTGTCAAACCTAACCATCGACCACCAGAACAAGCCTCGCCAACACGGGAACATTGAACTAAGATAGCAACAACCCCATGTCACTGCCAAACCCAACCATCGACCAGAACAAGCTTCCAGCCAACACAGACCCAGGGAACATTGAACTAAGATAGCAACAACTACGATATCTTAAAACAGATAAGGTATTTAGAAATGAATGCCCAGGAAGTGAAAATGTATAACCGATTTGTTTATCCGCTGGCAGCATATTCCACATGGACTGTCTGGGTCCCTTTATGTATCAATATTGGAAATGAGCACAAATTACCATCTTTCGTGATTGGCAGGTGGTATCACGGGTA